GTGCAGTAGTGAGAAGTGTTTTATGGTGAATGGTATGGTGTGTGACAAGATGGCAAGACCACGGTTCTGTAAAATGGAATAATGGTGCAAGAGGAGGTGGTGGAACCTTGGAGTGTACCAGAACAGTGGCTCCATTGTGCAGGGCTATGACATAATGGCGGGGTTATGGTGCGATGGCAGGCGGGCTGGGATTAGGGTTGCCAACTTTCTACTCGCACAAAACCGAACACCCTTGACCTGCCCCCTACCCCGCCCCTCAGCAGAGCCCTCACCCCGCCCCTTCCCTGAGGCCCCATCCCCCGCTCACTTCATTCCCGCCCCCGTCAATTGCTCTCCTCACCCTCACTCACTCGCTCATTTTCACTGGGCTGACTCAGGGGCTTGGGGTGCAGGGTGTATGTGAGGGCTCTGGCTGGGGGTGCAGGCTCTGGAGTGGGGCCAGAAATGAGGAGTTCAGGGTGTGGGAGGGTGCTCTGGGTTGAGGCAGTGGGTTGGGATGCGGGAAGGGGTGCGGGCTCTGGGGTGGGTCCAGGGATGAGGGGTTTGGGGTTTGGGAGGGGGCTCTGGGCTGAGGCAGGGGGTTGGGGTGTGGGACAGGGTTGCCGGTTCCAGGATAGGGCCAGAAATGAGGGGTTCAGTGTGTGGGAAGGGCTCTGGACTTGGGGTGCAGGCTTTGGTGTGGGGCCAGGGATGAGGGATTTGGGGTTCAGGAGGGGGATCAGGGCTGGGGTAGGGGGTTGGGGCATGGGAGGGGATCGTGGTGTAGGCTCTGCCACCTCAAGCAGCTCCCGGAAGCAGCAGCATGTCCCCCTCCGGCTTGGCTCCTACAGGGAGGTGTGGCCAGGCAGCTGGGTGTGCTGCCCCATCCACAGGTGCCGCCCCTGCAGCTCCCATTGGCTGCGGTTCCCGACCAATGGGAGCTGCAGGGGTGGTGCTTGGGACGGGGACAGCATGAGGAGCCACCTGGCTGCCCTTATGCGTAGGAGCTGGAGGGAGGACATGCTGCTGTTTCCAGGAGCCACGCAGAGCACAGCAGGCAGGGAGCCTGCCTTGTCCTGCTGCGCCATTGACCGGACTTTTAACAGCCACCAGGGCCCCTTTTCGATGGGGCGTTCTGGTCGAAAACTGGACCCCTGGCAACCCTAGCTGGGATTGTGGGGAGAACGGCAGGGCCATGAAGTGGCGGTAGGAAGTTATCTTGTGGCAGCTGGCAGGTAGGCTGTTGGGACTGGCTGTGTGTGGATGGGGTGGGGTTTGAGGACACAGTGCAGACGGGAGGACTGTGTGCAATGGCAGGGTGCCGGCTTGGGGCTGAGTTGTAGCGGAGGCTTTTGGGGCTGTGGTAAAGTTGTCAGGGCCATGGTGCGAGGTTGGGTCGGCAGAGTGGATGGTGCGGGGACTTGGTCAGTTGCGTGGATGGCTGGCGATGAGGTTCTGCGGCACGTTGTGGCTCTGTGGCAGGAGGGGGTGGTTGGTGGGACGGGGCGCAATGCGGAACTGTGGGGGCGCTGGGGGAGCGGTAACGGCTGGCTCAGCGGCGGGTGCCCTCCCCCCAGCAAAGCGCCGAGGGGCTTCGGCTCAGCCGCTTACAGCTGCCCGTAAGGGCGCGTCACGCGTCCGCTAGGCGGCCGCTACCGGACAACCAACGACGCCCCTCCCCCCGCCCGCAGCCCGTCGCTCGCCCGTCCGCCCTCTATTGGCTTCTCTCCGACCTCAGCCCGCGGGCAGGTGTCTCGCTACGGATTGCTCCGAGAATCTACCAATCAACGGCGCATTTCGCTCGGAGAGTGGCGTGCATGGGAGCCAATAGGAAGGTGGATAGCACGTGCCGCACAGCGGCCAATGATAGCTGTTCTTCCAGGTCCTATTGGGTTTCTGGGAAGCAGGCAGCTCGGGGCGGCAGGGTGAGAAGCGACGGGCGGGGCTGGAAGTAGCCGGCTGCCGCTGAGAGCATCCGACGCGGAGGACGTTCAGGCTCAGCGGGGCTAGCGGCAGCACAAGGGTACGGGGCGCCGCCGTGAGCGGGCCTGGGCGGGCGGGGAGCCCCCTGTGGGGATGGGAGCCCTGGTGTCTTGGGGGGAGGGGGCGGAAGCGCGGAGGGGGCTGTCTCCGGGTAGGGCAGTTGTTGCGGTGTCGGGAGGGGAGTGTTGGGCTGGGGGGCGGGGGAGGTGCCGGGGGTGGGAGGTGCGGGGACTACTCGGGTTCTGGGTAGGTGGGGGGGGACGCTTCTGGCGCTGGGGAAGACGGGGGGCAGCACTGCCAAGGAGTAACGGGCTGAGGCTATCTCAGGTGCAGCGGCAGTACTGGGGTTTTCTGTCTGACAGGAAGGGGATCAACACAGATTCCTCCTCAAATTGTATGAGCTTTGTAGTTGCATTCATCATAATGCTATGGGTGTATTCGTCCTAGACGTTAACTACCTTGTTTTAGGTACACTTTTTTTGTGCTATGTGGATTGATGGCTCTGTTCCCGATAATGTGACACTATACAGACTAACACGGCTGTTACTCTGAAACCTGTATAATGTTGCTGTATTTGCATATGTAGGACTACATGCCCTGATAGCAGTGGAACTCTTGCCTCTGTTAAATGATTTCTCCCAGCTTGTGCATTTCTTGGATTTCAGTCTCTTTTGGAAGGGGGATTTTTTCCCCCTTACCTCCTCCCAGTAGTCTTGAAGAGGGGTATTGCAAAGAGCAACACACCCACTCTACCCTTAGTTCATCATCATATACTTCCTACTTTTTCTCTTACTAGTGTTTTCTTATTGGTTGGGCCTCCTTGCATGGAGTAAAATACCTTCCTTCCCTACAAGGCAGCTCTCTGCTCCCTGCCTGGCAACCACTTCTCAGAGGCATTCTGTCCTGTTCTTCCCTCCCCACCCCCAGTGTAGCTTACTGCTCTTATCATAGCAGCATTAAAACAGCTATGAGGGAAGGGAAGCTCCTAGAAGTAGCAGCTACTGAATGGGAAGCAGAGAGTAGCATTAAAGGAAGGGGACACAAGCTCACTTCCTGCAATCCAAGAGTCTATGAGAGGATGGGGATTAAAAACGACCATTTCCTCATCTGAAAACTTTTCTGTCCAGTGGTTCCACACGAGTGGGGAAAGGCATAGATAGGGTTATAAGCACTCTGATGTCCCAGGGCTTTAGATTGCCATAGGCCAGAAGCTGATGGAGGTGGAACGCTGAAGTGCTGTATTGACAGCTCTTGCTGAGTGGGAACAAAGGGGGACTTTCTTGCCTGAGGTCTGGTCATAGAGTTTAAGGCCAGATACTCAGGCTGACCACCTAGATATCATAGCCACCAGCACCCACATGCTAATTCCAACAATTGAAATTAAATCAAGGTATTACAGCCCACAAGGGGCTAAACTATTACATGCCACAGGTAGAGAATAGGAGGGATCAAGATGCATTGGTGCTCAAGGCCCCACAATGATAGGGAAATAATTATCTGAGATATACTCAGATAATACTAGCAAGTGAGCAGAACCCACACACTGTAGAGGAAGGCAAAAAAACCCAAAGTCACTGCCAGTTTGACCAGGGAAAAAATTCCTTCCTGACCCTGTATATTGTGATGAGTTAGACCATGAACATGTGAGTAAGACCCAGCCAGCCAAGCACCCGAGACAGAGAATGCTTGGTGCTACTTCAGAGCCCTGGCCATCCTTGTTCAATGTCCCATCTTCAGTCGTGGTTATCACTGATGCATCAGAGGAAGAAGATCAAACCTCCCCTGTAGAATGTTTTGGGGGACATGAGCTTCTAGGAACTTAAGATATAAATCAGAAGTGACCCTCAGGGCTGTCGAGCATTGCCTCCTTCCATCACAAGCAGCCCTCCCGTACAGTTGCACTCATTAATTTGTCCAGCTGTCTTTGGGCAAATTAGAACTTAGGTCAACATAGCCATTGCAATCCGGTGTGAAAATTGTTTTAGCCCTCAGCATAAACCTAGCTAGGTTGACAAAAGAATGTTTGTTGACATAGCTTTTGCAACTCAAGGAGGTGGAGTTTCTACAGTGACAGAAAATCCCTTTCTGTTGCTGTAGTCTGTGTCTACACTCCAGAGTACAATGGCATAGCTATGGTGCCATAGCTACGCTGCTGTAGTGCCCATAGTGTAGGTGTGGCCTGAGGCTTGACGAAAGTGCTGGCACCTATTATGTACAACATTTTAAAGCCTAGTTGCCTTTGTGCAGTTGGTATCTTTTGGGGAGGTTTTTTAATTGCACTTAGTGTGAATCCCCTAATACATTAGAAGTTAATGGTGAACTCCTAGTCCTAGTAAGCTAGCTAGAAATTGGTGAAACAGAATCTTTCTGAAACCTGAGCAGCATGAAATGCTTTGGTGAAAGGTTCATGTGTGTATGCATTCTTAAGCATGTTAATAGTAACTATTAAAATAAGAGATTCTGGCATAAAATGTAATCTTAATCAGTGCTTTATTTCATTAATCTCTGCCATCCATATTGTGTCTGAACTATGAATGCAGGGGGCTAAAGTAATATGCAGTGTTACTCTGTGTACTGCAATAGCTGGTCACAAGCTTTAAGAGTGAGAAACCTTGTTACAATTCTTCCTTATGTTTGTTTGATCTTTAATGGGGCTTTGACGTATACTACTTTTTTCCCCTCGAAAAGCTTTTGTAAACATAGGAGAAACTGGTTTTCCAGTGATTAATAATTGTATGCTTTTTTTTAAGATTATAGAGCCAGATTGAGGTGTTAGGGAGAAAATGTATATATTTTTAGCATTACGTTGAAAAGAACAGATGTCAAACAATTGATTTTTATTATTCTAATACTTAATTGTCAGAAGTGATTGATACTTCAAGGTATAGCTCTTTACATTTAAAATCATTTTCTCTAAAGATGGAAAAACCTTCCTGTCCCAGTTCTAGTCATTTAGTATTGGGGAGTGGTGGGGAGACTTGAACATTGTCAGGGCCTCCCAGACGGGGGGGGCAAGTGGGGCAATTTGCCCCAGACCCCCACAAGAGTTTTCGGCGGGTCTTCGGCGGCAGGTCCTTCAGTGCCGCCAAAGACACCCGGAGCTTCTTCCGCTCTGGGTCTTCAGTGGCAATTCATCGGTGAGAGCTTCTTCCGCTCCAGGTCTTCGGCGGCAATTCGGCAGCGAGGGTTCCTTCTGCTCTGGGTCTTTGGTGGCAGTTCGGTGGCAGGTCCTTCACTCGCTTTGGGACCTGCCGCCGAAGTGCCCCGAAGACCCGGAGCGGAAGGACCCCCGCCGCCGAAAACCCCAGACCCCCTGAATCCTCTGGGTGGCCCTGAACATTGTGGGACAGTAATGGGTTTGGTTTTCTGGATGTGTTCGTAAATTTTTCAAGCCCTACAATGGTAACACCCGTTATCTTTGGTAAGCAGAGGCTGATACACCTCTTGTAAACTTGAGGTACCACCATTTACCTCTGTCTCCTGAAAAGGCAAAGGAACTCTCTCGCTTTCCCACTACAGAGCTTCCTAGCTGTAGAGGGGGCATGTCTATCCAGTCTCTTGGCTGCTGTAAGCAGAGTGCGCTCTTTCATTTGCTGTTTTTTAGGCTTCTCTATGTGAATAATTCTAGTTCTTGATTCTGCTGCAGTTTAATAGCCTTTCTGAGCATCTGAAGTGTGAAACTGACACTGTAAGTTTCACAGCTTTTCCCTGGCTCTGGGTAACAGCTGTGACGTTTACTAGCATTGTTGGTTTGATTCTGAAGCTGCTTGGAAAAGCTATCTGAGTAGAAGCAGAAGAATAGGACTTCTTTGTAAGCAAAGAAAAGCAGTACTGTATCACTTACGCTGCATTCACATTTGGAAGGCTATCTTCACAATCACGAAGGCTATAAACTTAATTTTCAACATAGTCCAAATTATGTAGAAAGATGCTTTAGGGGGCCCACACTTACTAGTGAATGTTTCCTACTTGCTAGTGGTTAGTATTCTGTTTGTCACCAAGACATGCAGATACTGTTTAGGGAGAACAGGCTGTCAATTTTTGCTCTAGTGTTGTCTTTAATACTTCAGAAACAAGTTTTGAGGAAGTATTATCTCAGGCAAACAATACCTGAAGGTAAGGTTCCAAAAAATCCAGTGCCGCTGTCAAAGTTGTAGCTGTTCAGTTCAGGTGTGATACCACTCTTATTAACGTGGTACCTGCATATTTAGTTCTTTTTTGGGAAGGGGCATCATTTTCTAAGTAATTGTTCTAATTGTTAGACGTGGGTCTTTGGTTGGAGACCCCAGCAACGTGCTTGCACTGGTTCTGCATAGCTCTGTCAAAGGGGAAAGCAATCTAATATTTTTGGGAGGATGGTGAGTCAGAGAAGGAGTTCATATATTTTATATAACTTGTTCACTTGCCACCTGAATATTTTTATGCTGTACCTTTTTGTGGGACAATTAAATGAACCATCACATTCTTATTGAAAAGAGAATATATGCTTTAAAAGGATGGTGTGGTCTTACCAGCTTCAAAACTATGAAAATAGTAAGTAAATTTAATGGAAACTGCAGAGATGGTTTTTAATGTAATCTTTGCTTACACATAAATGTAATAACTGCATTGTCATGAACCGGCCCTTGGCATAGTTCCCCTTTAGGGGTTACATAGGGAGTGCACATACATCCTCACCCCTGTGGGTGCTGTAGTATTTGTCAGTCTAGAGGGGCCATCATACTGTCCTCTGCTCAAGGTTTTCTGAATGTTTCTTCCCCTCTCAGGGTCCCAGATGAAACAAACAAGCCAGTCCAGAGTCAGCAAATGAGGCTAAATAAAAGCATAAAAGAAAAACGAGAGCCTTAGGCAGCTTCAGTAAGAATGTTGGTCTCTTCCAGAGAGCCTTGGAAGTATCACAGTACACTCCAGAGTTCACTAGGTCTCCAGTATAACTGTCTTTCTCCATCTTAACCCAGAGGATCTCTGTTCTCCTTTCTTCAGGGGTAGAGGCTGTGTTGACTGACAGATCTCTCTCTCTCTCTGGGAGCTGGTGAGCTC